GGGTGGAGGGGGGGAGATCTGCCCTGGTGCTGTGGAAGGTGGAAGGTAATTGTGGAAGGTAGTCCAGGAACTATTTCTTGACGTAATTTGTCTCTGTCCTTCGCTTCTGCAGCTTCTAGCCTCTAATGGATACATTAAATTGAATATCGGTGGGCAGGAGAAGAGGGGAGAAGTGCGGTGGAGGTGGGCTCCCCACTTGGAGGAAGGAGCTGGGGGGGCGAAAGAAGCTTTTAACCTAAAAGCAGAGGGGGCTTTTGTCATCTTTTGCAGGGCTGTCTCCTCGTCAGGCTGCTCAGCAGCTGCGAAATCCGCGGGGCACTGGCGCATCTAGCCCTGCTTTAAGAAATAAGTGTCTTCGGGAGGAAAAAATAAAATCTGTAGTACGAGGAGCAGCTTTGCGAAGAGGAGGGGGAAATAATAAGAACAACCCCCCCCCCCCCAAAAAAAAAAGGAAAGACTGAGCTTTTGCAGGGAAAGGCTGCGTTATTCGGCAAGTAGTCGTGGATGTTTTTATGTCCTTCAATAAAATTTTTACGAGGATCATTTGATTGTTCATAAATGTGTCGTTCATTAAATAAAACCGTAGGACTGGGTTTCAGCTACAGAGCTGAGGACGAGAGAGCTTTTACGTACCAGGAGGAAGCAACTGTGTGTATTGGGCACACGACTCTTCTTGCTTTTTTTTTTTTTTTTTACTGGTTTTGCTAACGCCTGGAAACTTTTCTTTTTGCACCAAATCGGTTGAAGAAGTTGGGAGCGCTAAAAAATCGGTGATAGCCTGCCTGCATTTTGAGAGAATAACCTTTCCTTTGTAAGGAAAGTCAGGTAGGTAAATAGCTCACGCCCAGTGGAGTCTGATAGAAGGGAGTTAGGCGATGTCTCTGGAAGCAAAATAAAGTAAATTAAGCTATCTAACCAAAAATAACCTCTAGTAAATTTTTGTAGAAACCGAACCCCCCAAGAACAGGGATAGTCTGGGCTCTCCAGGGCTCTCCATCGCCTCGGGTTTTCTCGAGCTGGGAGGACATGGAGGGGAATGGTCAAAAATTTGCAAGAAAAAGAAGAAAAAGCATGGGCTCAGCCAGGGACGGGGGGCTCGTCTCCGGGAGAGGCAGGCGAGGGGGGGAAGAGATGAAGGGAGATTCAGGGGTAAACTGTCGAGAAGGAGTGATGCTGCCAGGAGAACCCCCCCGGCCCCTCCAAACTTACCCCCCTCAGCTGAGCCAGGATAAAATCCTGCACCTCAGTTCACAGGGCTCGAGAAAATATAAAATTTAAAAAAAACATAAAACTAAGACACAAGGCTGCCCTCGCTGCTCGTAGAAATAGGATTTCCCTCTCGAAAAATAGCGAAAGCTTTAAAATAAAAATATGACAGGGGGGTTTGTCAAGGGACTCCGGATTTTCCAAATTCGAAGAGAAAAGTCACCGGCTCGCTCCCCCACAGAATTTATTCCTTATTCCGTTTTAAGTCCCCAGCTTTATGTGAGCCCTTAAAGGGAAATATTCCTGCAGGAGCAGAATGTCTTCTTTGGCCTTTATCGAGACCAATTTATCTGTCAGTCACTAGTCTCCATTGACGGTTATTTTTATGTTCGGGAGAAAATATATATATATTCTCATCATTCTTTTATCTATTCCCATTTTAAAATACTTACTCTGCAGGGCTCCTAATACAGTGGGCTGTGACATGTGGAGGGGAAAAGCCAGCTTGGCTTTTCTACTTTGATGGAATATTTTAAGGAGAATCCTTACAAAAGAAGGGTTGCTTGCAGACTTATGTGCAGAAGGGGAGAGGGGGAAAGAAAAGAGAGGCAGAGGGAGAAGGAGGGAGAGAGAAGGGAAGGACTGAGGACGCAGAGGGAGAGAAGCACTGAAAAGCAGAGTCAGTGGGGAGGTTTTCCAGAGGAGAAAAAAAAACAACACATTGTCAGAATAACACCACAGACGAACCGCAGGACGAGCAGAAATTACCAAGCCACGCAGTTCTAACCAGCAGCAGCAGTTTTTGTAACCTTAGTGCGAGCAGGCAAGGTCACCGACCGAGCAGTGGATGGTGCGCGTTGGTGGTACACAAAGGCGAACCTATCCGGCAAAGAGGGATTTTATTTGCACGGAAACCTGCAGCCCACGCAGTTACTCACTCCCCACACTGTCGTGGGATCTTAAATAAAAAATCAGAGCGCGTTTGCGACACAAACCCCTGGCATCCAGGGACTGCTGGGCTCTGAGAATTCAGCAGTACAAAGCAGGGATGGAGACGCTTCACCTTAAAGCGAAGTAAAGACACGGCTCAGGACTAAAGACACGGCTCAAGGCTGCGTTTTCCCTGCTGCAGAATCCCCTCACACGGTGTGAACCCCCATAAAATTTAACACGATGTGAGCCCACATAAAATCTCGTCCTTTCATCTCGAGGTGAAACCATCCCCGTGGGTGAATGCAAAGTTACGTGAATAAAGTCCACTCAGAGTGCAGGGCAAAGGAAGCGACATCCTGAAGTATTCTTCTTTGCAGCAGCAGGGTCTCCAAGCAAATATCCACGCTGGAGTTAAAACACCCCTCGCTATTGAATTCAGCAGCTACAAGGTTATCTCGCAGCTTCTATGCGCGCTCCAGCTAGACCCCTCTGCCTCCACAAAAGCTCCGGTGCTTGTTTAACGGGAGATTACCTCTTCTGAAATGATGGTGAACTAGCACATCCCTTCCAGGCACACTAATATCTTTTGCTCTCACCTCCCCCTTCGAATCTGCAGGGGAAAGAAACTTCACTGCATTGAGCAGAGCTAACACCAGTAGCCCACAAGCAGTATGAGTATTTATATATATATATATATTTTTTTTTT